AGTGCGTCCAGACGTTAGATACCTCCCCTTGTGCCGTCCCTCCAGAAGAACGGATTACAGAGGAACAAATTTGCTCAGCGCTGAAATACAGTAAGAACATGAAGGCTCCCGGGTTTGACGGAATATTCAACCTAGCGTTGAAAAATCTCAGCCCGAGGGTGCACTCGCTGCTAGCTGCCACCTTCAACAGATGCTTGGAGCTGCACTACTTTCCAAGCATCTGGAAGGTGGCAAAAATCATCCCGATCCGCAAACCTGGGAAAGACCCTTCACTACCGTCAAGCTACAGACCGATTAGCCTGCTCTCAGCGCTGAGCAAGCTGTTCGAAAAATTGATCCTCAGCCGACTAAACAAGTTTGTGGAGGAACATGACATTCTTCTTCCGGAACAGTTCGGGTTCCGTAAGGGGCATTCCACCAATCATCAGCTAGTGCGGGTGATGAATAACATCCGGAGTAACAAAGCTGTATCCAAGTCCACAGCCATGGCCTTGTTAGACGTCGAAAAGGCGTTTGACAATGTCTGGCACGACGGACTTATATACAAGCTTTGTAACTCCAACTTTCCACCATACCTTGTGAAAATCACCCGTAACTATCTCCAGCAAAGGTCGTTCAGGGTGTCGTTGAATAGTTCCCTTTCGGGACAATTTCCGATCCCAGCAGGTGTTCCGCAAGGGAGTCTGCTGGGACCACTGCTTTACAGCATCTACACGTCGGACATCCCTCCTCTAGGAGACGGTTGCGTGTTCTTTCTGTTCGCAGATGACACCGCGATAGCCGTCAAGGGTAGGATGCCTCGTGAAATTACGAACAAGCTCCAACGATGCCTTGACACCTTTACTGATTATGCAACCACGTGAAAAATCAAAATCAACGCCTCGAAAACCCAAGCGATCATGTTCCTTCACAGACAATCATTAAAACTTAAACCGTCTCCCTCCTGTACCGTAATAATGGATGGTACAAGGGTCGAGTGGTCCACTGATGTTACTTATCTCGGGATGTTGTTCGATGAGAAGCTCCTGTTCCGCTCGCACATAGAGAAAACCCTAGTTAAGTGCTCCGCCTTGGTTAGGTGTTTGTATCCGCTCATTTGCCGCAGATCCCGCCTCTCAAGGCAAAACAAACTGGCTGTTTACAAACAGATCATAGCCCCCGCGATCTTCTATGCCGCCCCGGTGTGGGAATCGTGCGCTCAGACCCACAGGAACAAAATCCAGGTTGCACAGAATAGAGTGTTGAGGATGATCCTAGATCGTCCATTCGACACAAGAATAGCAGACCTCCATCAAGAGGCAGAAATTCCCAAAGTAGATTCCAAAATTGATGATATGACAACTAAATTTATTCAAAAATGCAATCTTTCTGAACATGCTCTAATAAGCAATTTGTACATAGTAGGTTAAGTGTATATAGTAGAGTAGGTTAGTTTTAAGCTGTAAATAGTAGTATTAAGTAGTTTCTCTTCAAATTCTAAAAACAAAACAAACCAATCCCACCAAGGTGGTCGACCGTGTACTAAGTCTAGGACTAATTCTGTAAAACAAATTTTGAATTTTGCCCATACCTAAAGATGAAGAAAGCAATTAAATCACTTAGTAAAAATTTATATGGTAATCGTCCAAGTTAAACTAAAATAAAGATCATTTAAACTAAACGTCACCATTGCGTACAACACCAAAGGGCTGTCCCTAGTAGTTTTTCAAAAGTTCTTTCATCTATTTATCATTTAACGTAAAATAACACCTTAGAACTAAAAAAAGTAGAAGGGCCTGTGCCTAGGGGCACGAACGGAAGCTTGACGTAGGACCGCTAGTGGACGGAATAAATGTGAAGAGCATTTAGTTCTTTTAATTGATCAATTATCTATTATCTCAACTCTTTCCGTTTTTGAATTGTAGGCGTACCAAATGTGTAGTATTTTTTTTTTTTTTTTCAAAGAGAAAGTTGCCATGACCAGTCAATTGTTGCTTGTTAGGTGTGAAGGAGTGGACTAGGCATCACCTTCCTACTACTGCTTTTGCTGTTCACCACGCCGTCCGAAGCGAAAATGAGCTAATTCCATACAGCAGCGCTCTTTTATATCTTTTCAGGTTAAAGCAGAATGATGTGCAACCAAGTGGTATAAAAGCTACAAAGACTCCTCCCATTATGAGTAGTTTGCTATCAAGTAGCGACACTGGCTCTTTTCCTTTTGCGTACACGGCGAATGAGAACGACCCAAATTTGAGTTTAGTTCACTCATAATCGCCAAAAGTGCAGGAACTCAGCGATGAGTAAATTTGTCTCATGGTTTCCTGTGGAAAACCTAAAAAATCTGCCAGAAAATGAAGGAATTGACGAAAATTTTATTAAGTCTCGGAGTAGTACCAATAGACTGAGTGAATCCAATCTTTACTTTTCTCAAATTCAAATTTACTTTTGGAAAATCCTAGAAAAACCTGGGAAAACATGAGGCAAATTTACTAATCGCTGATTTCCTGCACTTTATTTCTTATTTCTGAGATAACTAAACTCAAATTTGGGTCCTTCTCATTCACCGTGATATCATCTTGAAAGATATACTGGGTCCAATCTCAGTCGGCGCCACCGGCATATTCTAAGACATAACATCTCTGATCACGCCTTCCTTCGGGAAGTAAAGCCGTTGGTCCCCGGTTGAGTTGATGGGTTGATATGTAGGGTCCAGGTGTGGGAGCTGCCTCCCTGGCGTCGGTAGCATTGGAGCTCAGTATGGAAAACAAATCTCGCGTCACTTTCAATAGGTCCTATCTACAATGATCGATTCTCTTCATCGACACTCTCTTTCGTAAATAACTCGGCTTCACAAATGTTTCCTGCCGTCTTCGTCGAATTAGATGCTAGATTGTTGCTTCTTCCATCGAAAATATCCGGCCGTGGCGATTCAAATTTGATCAAGGTTGATCAAAATAATTTGTACCCCTGCTTCCAGTTTGATTACATGAGCATTTTGTGTGATCGTTGGTTCTGAATATGGACAAACAGACAGATGAATTCTATTCCTACTCTTTACTGTAATAAGCTTGGGGGCCCTGAAAAGAGCCGTTTTGTTGTCAAAGTTGGTGACATCCATGGCCCATATAGAAATCAAAGACGTAGTCCTACGTCAAAAAAAAAATTCACCTTCGACTAAAAAAAATCCGTAGAGATCCGTAGATTTGAATAAGTCTACGGAATTGCATAGAAAAAATCTGGCATCTCTGCCTACCGTCTCCAACACTCCACTATAAAGCATGAGATTAAGCCCGCCCACCAACAGCAATGTGCAAAAACTAGCTAAGGGGAGGGATTAAATTTCGTAAACATATTGAAGAGGAAACCCAACGCTCTTTGAACAATTATGAGCCTTTGTATTTATTGCGCATTCTGCACCAAAGTAGAGCCTGCATTTTTTTTTCGCTCACGCCTGTAAAAATAAAAATTGATCATTTTGAATGTAATATAGTGCTGTTGGTACCAGTCGAGACCATGGTTTGCGAGTATTGCCACATCCGTTTGTTTCGGTTTTGTCTGATATTGGGGATTAATCTCGGTCTCTTAGATGGAAGTAGCAGTATCTCCAACAATCGAGAACTGTCCTGGCCACGTCCTTGCAACTGCTGGGGATGGGAAGGATTGTTAGTTGGACACTTGCTTAAGAGAGATGCAGAGAACTCTACGACCTTTCATTTATAAATGTCACAGGAGTTCGGAGGTTTGTTAGTGGGGATGGTAAAGCCATAGGATACGTTAGGTAAACGTTGCTGGCAAATTTACGATAGCATTGGTTATGGTGTATGTGATAATATGTATTTGTTAAAAAAAAGTAAAACAAATTTTTTGATGTTGAAAGCAGCTTCTTGTCCTTTTTGAATTCCTTTATGGAATTCACTACACACTAAAAATGACGCTCCACTTATGTGCATCATAGTAACGGAAATTTACACTACTTTTTTTTAGCTGTGTGGATTCCATTAGGATGGGCTTCCGGCCAGTTACTAAATTTTCTGGATTTGCAGATATTTCTTCATCATCGGCGATTCTTGAAAACTTTCTGTCAAACATCGCACTAAACTCTAACGGAAACTACCCGAAACAAGATAAAACGGAACAACGCCAATATATTTGATGGGAGAAAAAAAAAAACGTTCGCGTTCATCTTGGAACATCGCACACATCGATCTCAATATCATATCAAACTAGCGGTGATAAAACATAAAACAAAATATATTTTTTTATTTGCTCTGGGTGAAAAAAATCTGATGGATTATTTTCAGCACAGCAGTCTACTTTGATGCACAATACCCCAATTTAAAACAATCATTAAAATAAAACACTGATGCACAAATGTTTGGGCTAGAAGATCTTATCGAACTCACACAAACGCTCTATTTGATAAGAATTTGTTGGGAAAGTCAAACTCATTCGTGTACCATCTACATTTCTCCCCCCATTAGTCCCAATAACGATCGCAACCTAATGAAGATGAAGATCATGAACACAACAAATAGTGCGCAAAAGACAGCGCAAACAAAAAAATGACCTCCACATCCGCCTTCGCGCCAATGCCCGGTACACACAATACCGCAGCAGACCAGGGATGGAGTACAATTCATTGTTATTCCTTGGTAGAGATGCAATTCAGCAGATTTGCTCCGCAACTGTCGGAATCGGTTTGTTGATGATCACCACCACTCGCTTAGAGCACACAGCAGACAGGGACTGACGATTGCCACACTTTCTCTTCCAATCCCACTGTGGATTGTAGTTGTTGTCGACTGTTGTGACTTGTGACCGACGACGACCACACGATTATGGCAGGCGACAGCGGCGGCGGCGGCGCGGCGGTTGTTGATAATGATTGGCCATTTTTCATTTTTGCTAACTGAAAGAGATCCCGGAGCGCGATGTCGTAATCCGTTGTAACCAAAGCGCGCTCCGGCAGTATGATCAATGGTGAACTTATGCTTTTCTCTGTTTTTCCCCCCACACAACAGGTCCAGTGATCAGGCCTCGTCGGATGATGCGAGAGATCTACGGTGAGATCACGGATGCGAATGCACAGAATGTCACAAACTTTATTGGTAAGTGTTCCACGAAGTCATTGTTGTTGAAATGTTGCTAAATCATTGCGAAATGGAAATTCACAGCAGACACATGTCTATACGATGGATCGCAAGTGTCGCGTACGAGCATCACCTGCGAGAAGAAGCATGGCTGTAGGGCGATTCAGAAAACGGGCGAATGTTGTCCGGATTATCAGTGCGGTAAGTTGGCGATTGAGTCAGAGTACGTTGTTCCAATTACCTATATGAGTCCCCTTTATTTATCCGTAGAATGCCAACGAGACGGCAAAGTCTATGCCAATGGAGAGAAGGTGTTCGACCCGGAAACGCCCTGCCGGGTGTGTTACTGTCAAGGTAAGGACTAGTCAATCGATTTCTGGATATAACACAAATGATTGAATGGAAGTTTGGTCGAATGCCACATGACCGAATGGCTATTCACAATTGAATTATTTTGCCGATATTCCAACAGTCGAGTAGTTCTGCAATTTATTTCGCAGAGATTCAATTGGCGAATCAAAGCAAAGCCAAAACTGGTCATGCGACACCTAGTCTTAAGATCCGCAATTACAAAAATGATGATGTACTAAAAAAAATTATGCAATTTGACAGATATCAAAACGGCATTACCATTTTTACTCACACTGAACCAAAACATCATCCTGGCGTCGAATGATTATTGCCTCACTCAAGCTCTATAACTATTATCAGATGATTTTGAGATAATCGTCATTCGATTTATCACCTGTTGGAATATGAATAAATCAAATGACAATCATCCATATAATGAATTATTTTAGATCGATTTGCGAAAACCAAAGTAATCATAAATCAAACATAAAATCATAGGATAATCGTTTTGTTTTCAACTAATAATAAAATGAAATTATATGATGGAATTTCGGATGAAAATCAGATGTAAAATATCAAGTCATATTTTACAAATTATTTATGATTATATTATTAAACTGAGCTGGGTCCTTGAAAGACGAATGATGATGGCGAGGTAGAACCAACCGAGGGGCAAAGATGTTGTTATTCAGCAGATTGATATTGGCTTCGTAGACCTCCCAGGAGTTGTCAACGATGTCATTACAGGAGCGATAGATCTGGCTCTTGGGAAAAGTATCCGTAGTTGCTCTGGGGCCTGGGTAAGAATGGGAAAACTTCTATAGTCTCATCTTGCATGTGTATCTAGAAGGAAACTTATTCTTCTGCCTTGTTTGTAAAATTGGTCGACCACAACGTTCTAGATCTTCCAGTAGCGCTGATCTTTCCGAATGCTGACATTACCTATTGAACATCTTGAACACATCTAGAATTTCAATTCTCATAAGACCTTTGAAAACATATAACAACTATGCACTCAAGCTTTCACATAACGTATGTTGCCATTTTTATTCGGTTATAAAATATTTTATAATTGAAATCAAATGATTTAAGTTATAGGGCTATCTCAAGAGATATTTCATTCGCTTCCATACTGAATGTTTTTCACTATATCTAACATATGTATTGCTAACGAAATACATACAAAAAACATGCCTATACTCATTCACCAATCAAGAGAGCATTACACGTGTCTGAATAGAAAATCATCCTACTGATTTTGCCATGTTTTCAGAAACATGGACATTGGATGCAACTGAATGATGTTTCATTCTATAAATGGAGGGTGATTTGGTTCAGTGCACTTGTCATCTGTGAGTCAATCGTCACTTTGATTCTTCAATTGGCGTCTTGCAGTGAAACTTTTGCGAGCTTTCGCCACATACATTTTGAAGTGAGAACTGTTATATGGATGATGGTTGCAAAATTCTCCAAAGGAAACAGACGATTTTTGGGGAAAATCGCTCCATAAAGCAAAACTAATCTATTCACGGGAAACTGTTGCTTGAATCGCGTAGATATATGTTTTAGGTAACTACTGTTTTTCTTCCGGTGTGATTCTGTGATGTGGTGAAAATGTGTGATTTCCACTGAAATTAAAGTGAATTCATTGAGGAAAGTTTTTATCATAATTCATAATAATCCTTTTTAGGCATACATTTGGATACTCACAAATTTCAATGGAAAATACAACTGAACTTCATTTAATCAACAGGCACCCTGCTCTAGAATTTTTTTCTTCCTTTGGTTTGTTTTTTCCGTCGATCTTGTTTTCCGTGCTGAGCACCTATGCTACCGACGTGCCAGGAAGGCAGCTCCCACACCTGGACCCTACCTATCGACCCATCAACTCATGAACCGGGGACCAACGGCTTTACTTCCCATCCGAAGGAAGGCGTGATCAGAGATGTTATGCCTCAGAACATCCCGGCGGCGCCGACTGGGATTGAACCCAGGCCTGCTGGGGTGAGAGGTAATCACGCTTACCACTACACCACCGGCGCCGTTAGAATGATTCTAGTTGGTTATCAAATCATCTTTATTTAGAGCAATTTACTTATAGTTGAAGATACTAATTTCAAATAACAGATTAAAGTGGTAATTTTTATACGATAGATGAGGAGATGAAAGTATAGAGTTGATAGTTCCGTTAGAGTACGGCAGTGTGAAAATTGTATATAGAGAGTAGAAAGCCAGCAAGGACAACTTTTAGGAAGGTAAAAATCGGTTTGATCATCTCTCTTTACCAAACTCCCCCATTGGAGAGGGATCCGCCACCACTGACTTATGTTTACATCTTTTGTGCGATGTAGCATCGACGATGTCGTACAATGAAATGAATATTTCGTTTGAAAATCCAACTGGAAAAGTCAAAGATGCACATCAGTCTGATTGGAATGATATTTTCCTACACTGAGGCAAAAGTACACAATAATTCCATAAAAACCACTTATGAATTTTAGCTTTAAGAAACCGGTATCAATTTCATTGATTTGCCTTACCAAATATAATGTTGACACTGGGTGTTCACCACTTGTCTTTCAACGCTTGGGAAAATGAAATGGTTAAAGGCATGTAAAAGTTACCTCATCTTAGACGAAAATCATTCATAAGACATGCTTATTAAATTCATATGTGTAGGGTTGGTTGGAATTGCAAAAAAGGAAGCTTTAGTGTGATAATTTATTAGCTAGAGAATGATCTTTAGAAGAGGGTAGGTTGGATAGTACGTAATTCGAAGGTTGTTTGTACACGCAGACAAAAGAACGTAAGAATTCCATAAGAAACAATTATGATTTGAATTTGAATATCATTGATTTGCCTTATGAAAAATAATGTTGACAAAAAATAATAAATCGGATCAGACTAGAACCGGAAAATGGACAATGAGGTTAGGGGGCCGTGTGTTGACCACTCGTCTTTCAACGCTTGGGAAAATTAAATGGTTAAAGGCGTATAAGAGCTACCCCATGTTACCCAAACATTATTCATAATTCACGCTTTTGAAACTCATATATGTTGTTAAGAAGTCGAGCCTTATGAAATTCTTAGCTCTATTTGCCTCCGTGTAGGTTTGATGATATTATGTTGTTTTGCTCATTTTCATGAATTTCTTATGCAGCTTATCAACATTATCATCATCAGTGGCGACATCTGCATAGAGCGTTAACTAAGCTAACAAATTAGAGTTTTGCTGAAATCTCAGCTAACAATCAAATATTTTGCATTGATATCAGCAAAAGTAAATGCCAAGGTAATTGGCTGTTTAAGGTTTTACCAAACCAGATTGAGTGTGTTGGACAGAAAGGACGTTAAGTCAAAAGGCATTTAAACAGAATGCATATTTGAATGGATCAAATTTTCTATCCGTTAGCATTCGGCTTAATGACCCAGCATAGCCAGAACTAAATGAATTTTCAAGAACGAAAAAACTAGAATTTATTCACCTATGGATAGATCGAACCCTCCTTGCTAATTTAATTGCAGAAAACTATGCTCAAATCTGGATTCAGGGATGAAAACTATGATCATATGGTTTGATCAGGGCTGTCATCTGATCACTCAATACGCGCAATGTAGGGGATAACAGTACATAACGCACCCCCGGGGTAAGACGCACTTTTTTTCTGAAATAAACAAAGTCGACAGTGAGCATGCATAAGGGCCTATACGCGATGATCGATTCTCTTCGTCGATTTTCTCTTTTGTTAATAACTCGCTAGATTTAACGTTTCTCGGTGCGTTTGCTGTTGCTTTTGATAGCCAATACAACCTGTTACTACTCTGCATTGAACAAATTCTAGAAAATTGTTTCGCTTAGCTGTAGCAATGCAAAGAGAATATCGATGAAGAGAATCGATCATCGCGTATTCGCCCTTATGCATGCTCACTGTCGAAGTGAGAAGCAAGCAATCACAAAGTTTGCTGGTCTTTCACCCTGCGCAAATATAAAGCAGCGGAGAAGAGAAGACAGACACACACCCATAAATCGACAGTGAGCATGCATAAGGGCCTATACGCGATGATCGATTCTTTTCGTCGATTTTCTCTTTTGTTATTAACTCGCTAGATTTAACGTTTCTCGGTGCGTTTGCTGTTGCTTTTGATAGCCAAATAACCTGTTACTGCTCTGCATTGATCAAATTCTAGAAAATTGCTTCGCTTAGCTGTAGCGAGAAAATCGATGAAGAGAATCGATCATCGCATATTCGCCCTTATGCATGCTCACTGTCGAAATAACGAAATCTCAATGTGTAGCCATCGTTCCGACGGCTCCGGCGCTAAGCGCGCCACTCAGTGTATGGTTGTAAATGTGACACCCAGCAAAAATACAAAATTCTTCTTCTTTATTCTCTTCTTCATCTCCTATGCATGCAGTCGTGCTAAGCAAAGTGTGCAAAGAATTCAAAGAAGACATTAGCGCTTGTTGTATTATATTCGCTCCCTGCGCCGCACGGAGTGTACCACTCATTGTGTGGATCGCTTTATCACAGATTAGTTGGAAAAGAGTGTGCGAAGTAGATGGGAGAACCACACACTCTTTGTCGAGTGTTGTGAGATGCATACACACAGTTTCTTTGCTAACGCTCTGAGGTGCTTTCCAACCCTGGGTTTGATATTAGTGTTTCCTTCCCGGTATGGTCCAGAATGAAAAATCCCTGTATTTTGTCATTTCCCGAGATCTCGGCAACCCGCGAACCACAAACCTCAACATGTACACTCAAAGATAAATTAAATCATAAAAACTTAAAAAGTATGCAGTTTCCCGCTTCACCTTATTGAGTCCGAGCCATGATTACTTCGGCAATAGTCATGCATGATTAAAATCGAAATAATCTTTCCAGTATTAAATTTTATTCTTTTTGAATACTGATGTATAATCAAAAAAGATTAAAATTCAATCAAAAATTATTAAAATAGAATCTAAAATGATTAAAATTTATTCAAAAAAAGATAATCTACAATCTAATCAACCATGATTAAACTGGGATTAATATCAGATGCTTATTTTTTAATCATTCGATATGATTAAACTGAGTTTAATGTCAAATTGTTTAAATTTCAAGCAAAATGGGAATAGTTCAATTTATCAGTGTAGGGTATCAGTTGTTGTATGATACGCTACCGACCTCTACTGTGGGGCACCTGCATCATGTCTGGTGATGGCCAACGAGGTGGTCATGAGCAGTCGATATGACTGCAATTGAACTTGTTTTAGAAAACTCATGTGTATTTGCAATCTCATGCGAAATGAATATTTGCAATCGTCACAAAACATACTTACCTTACCAATCAGACTAAGGCTTTGATGCCCACTACTGTCCGAAGAAGTCGTCTCCACTCTACTCGATTCATGGCCACACATCACCAGCCTCGTAGTCTGCGAAGGGCCCGCAGGTCGCCTTCTACTTGATTGATCCACCTTGCCCGCTGCGCGCCTCTTTTTCTTGTTCCTGTTGGATCGCTTTCGAGAACCACTAGATCGTCGTCCGGCATTCTTACGACGTGCCCAGCCCACTGTCATCGTCCAATTTTTGCAGTCTGGACGATGGATGGTTCTCTCAGCAACAATTTGTGGTTCATTCGCCTCCTCCACGTTCCGTCATCCATCTGCACTCCACCGTAGATGGTACGTCACACCTTCCGTTCGAAAACACCAAGGTGGTCCTTCACGAGCATAGTCCAAGTCTCGTGGCCTTAAAGGACCACCAGTCTAATCAGCGTCTTGTAGATAGTGAACTTCGTGCGGCGGCGAGTTTTATTTGACCGGAGCGTCCTCCGGAGTCCAAAGTAGGCACGATTCCCTGCCATAATGCGTCTTAGAATTTCTCTGCTGGTATCATTTGCGGCGGTCACCAGTTTGAGCCCAAATATACGAACTCGTCCACTTCGATTTCGTCACCGTCAATGTGAACTCGGGGTGGGATGCTAACATTGTCGATGCGTCGATGGCAAGTCCAATCCGCCTAGCTTCAGCCTTCAGTCTGTTGTACGTTTCCATCATCGTCTCAAAGTTCCGTGCCATCGATGTCATTGGCGAAGCCAAGAAGCTGGATGCAGAGTTGCGACCTATCACAATCACGATCGTCAAACAGCTGATGGTAGTAACGCTTGGTACATTCCTATAAATGTGCTCGTCGAAGCACTCTCCATGACCATCCATCAAGTTGACGAAAGAAGTAAAAAGCAACTGGTCAATGTCGTCAGTGCTGGTGATTCATCACCGATCTGGTCATTCCCGACAATCACGACACTCATCTGTGCTCGTTTTGAAGCAGTTGCTGCTTTGCTTGATTATGTGAGTGTGTTGATGAGTGAGCCCAACAGCTTCCGTTTAATTTTGCCAGCATTGTTTGTAGCTCACACAGTCGCGCCTGCCGAGACAAACTTGGAATGCGTAGGCATTGTTTTCATTTTCTTCTGTCGTTTCGCTTTTTCTCATCATCGTACTGCAGAAGTCTTCATTGTTTTCATTGTGCTACATTTTGCCTGTGAGCAGTGACCGTTACTGGTGATTGTTGTTTGCCATGGCTCTACCTCTCACTGCGTGACAAAACGTTCTGTCAGCGATAGTCGGTTGATGCGTTGACGAGTGTCGAGTGAGTGTCATGATATTTTACATCACTGGCTGGATGGACTACCTGAAGATTGTGCCACTCGTACCTAACCCAGCTCTTCATATCACACCTTTTAACGCAATCGCCTTACCAATCGCGTCATTTTATCCGGAAATCCGTACTTGTGCATAATCTGCCATAGCTGATCTCGATCGATTGTGTCGTATGCGGATTTAAAATCGATGAACAAATTATGTGAGGGCCTGCCCCAAGCCCCCTGTCTCGCCGGGGGACCATCGTGTAGAGCTCTTTACACGCTGGCACTTGGACTGTGATCAACCACTCCTAACATGGAGAACAGACGCCGTTTTGAGCCGCACCTCTGTGGTGAACACACGGTCGGGTTTTGTTCACAAAACATAAAATATATTAAAAATCATAGCTAAAATAAAAATTCTTCACAGAATTTCAGATGTATTTAAAATGAAGACATCCCTAATAAAATGCGTTTGGTTATTTTGCTTAACGACGTGTTCAGGGTATCATCGAAACCATTTGTGAAATAGTTCTATCATTTTGGGTTATAATTCCGGCATGTTCTTTTTTTTATTAGGGCTTCAAATTTGGCTGCTCCAAGCACGAAAATCCAAGCCTAAAATCAACCGAAATATGGCAATTTCTTTGCAGTTGGTTCTTATGGAGGGTTGTTAATGCGGTCAGAATTATTATTTACTAATATATACCATTCGACAGCTTTCAGGAGAAGGCTTTCTTTATGGGGTGTTTTGCTTATGCTATTTCACTAGCGCTAATGTCCCAGCTACTATCAAAAAAGCACACCAGCATAATGTAAACAGGATATCAGCGTCTACTAGCATGATTTTCAGGAGCAACTGAAATTTCTGCTAGATAGGTAGCTAATACACTAGCGTTAGTAAATCCGCACAAATGTAAACTCCCCATTAGACTTGCAATGGTTCATTGGCCACATTGACTGCTTTCGGAATCACTAGGATGCCTCTGGATGAAACTGTTGAAAGGAACAATTATTGCATTTTTACAGAAAAACATGTAGTTCCACAGCTACTTCTTCTTGATTTTCTGAATAGGCTTTCTAACAGCAAACATTTGATAATGAGTGACGTGGAAATAGAAAATACTATCACGTTCAGTTTTGGCACTGGAAGTGTGAAACCCTCCTTGAGCGATTTTGACAATGTCTTGAAAGCCTTGCATACGGATCCCTTTCAGAAGGGAGCAACCTAACAGATTGCGGATGAGAAAGCATTTTCATAAATTTCAAGTCCGAACAAATGATGCTTCATGCATTACTTTATAACCCGGATGGAAAGGTATTCGAGATTCAATCCGTGCGAGAGGTTCAGAGGTCCCGGATTGGGGTTTAGCGTTGGTGCTGAGGAAATATTGGAAAGGGAAGGCGGTCATCCAAGACAAATTCCGAACGGAACTGTGCTTCGACATGTACGACTTCTCCTGTGATTTTTACGCTTCTTTTGCGAGCGTTTCACAGTGATAAAATAAATCAAGAACTCAATTATAATTATAGCATTTAGTTGGTCCCTCGATTTTCGAACTTTGGCCTTCATTATGGCCCAAAATCTTTCCACCGGACGAATCTCTGGTGAATTTGGGGGGTTGGCGGTTTTTGGTACAAAAACAACGTTATTGTCTCTGTACCAATCCAACGTCGATCGCGCGTAGTGGCATGATGCCAGGTCCTGCCAAAATAATGTCTCGCCTCCGTGGGACCGCAGAAAGGGCAACAGACGCTTCTGGAGGCACTCGGTGCGGTAAATTTCGCTGTTGATGGTACCCATTGTGATGTACGGTTTACTCAGTTTACCGCATTGGCATATGGCCTGCTAGAGCAAGTATTTTTTGGCGAATTTGTCCAGTTTCTTCTTCCTTATGTCTTCCGGAACATCAAACCGTGATTTGGCAACGTAGAACTCCAGCCCCGGTATCTGCTTTGCGTCTGCCTTGATGTAGGTTTCGTCATCCATAACCATACACATCGGTTTCGTTAACCACTCTGGATACAGCTTCCTTGCGCGGGATTTGGCCGCCGTGTTTTGTTGATCACGCCGGTTCGGTGCCTTCCGGACCTTGAATACACGAAGGCTAGCTCGTTTCATGGTTTGCTGAACGAACCAGGTGGAACACTTTGCCTTGAGAGCCGCGACGCGAATCGAAAGGTTCGGATTACGCTTGAAATAATCCAACACCTTCCGGGCCTTCACAGGGTCAGCTGTCTTCGATTTTCTTCCACTTCCAGCCCATCGCTCGGTCGTCTGGGACTCCTTAAATGATTTTACCACCTGATACACAGTTGTATGGGTGATTCTCAGTTGTCTTCCGATCCATCTCATGGTCGCAGTCGGATTTTCCATGACGGCGCGCAAAATTCTCCGGCGATTTTCTTCTTGTTTCTATGACATCTCAATAACCACTGAACCGATTGTTATGAAATTTTGCACATGTAAACAATTCACTTCAAACTAGCTATACCCAGATTTTCATCAATTGTTACCCACGGATAAAAAAGTTACACACGGATAAAAATGGTGCATTTTTTTCGAGTGCAAGCCTTAAATTAATTCCTCAAAATTCGAATTACTCATTTCAGGAGGCGAAATCACTTGCGGCCAGGTATCTTGCTACAAGCGACACGATTGTGAACCGAAATTCATTCCCGGTCGCTGCTGCCCGGAATATGACAACTGCCCTCCTCTAGGTAAATCATCAACTGCCTTCCTTCACGTGAACCCCCAATTCTAACCTTGAAAAAAATCCTTTTCAGAAAACTCCAACATCGCAGAGCCTACCTCACCGAGCGACGACCATTCCAGTGAGCTGAAGGAAACCGAAATCGAAGCCGAAGACCTCCTGGATGCAGAGAACAAGAAACTATCGTCGATCACATCGAACGACGTCACCACTGCCGGTACGACCACGACCACTACCGAAGGATCCACGACACCCAAAGTTCAAATCCACGCGGCAAACAACAATCCGCTGGGTTTATTCAAAATCAAGGAAATCACCAAACCGGAAGAGATTCGATTGACCGATTCCAGACCAAAAATCACCACTACAACCGCGGCGTCGAGCAGCAACGAAGTGACGGCACATCCATCGACAGAGTCATCCTCATCCCCGTCGTCGCACAGCGAAGAGGCAAACCATCTGGAGCATTTGGATCTGAACGTTACCGATGACGGTGATGAAGGCACGAAGAACGTCCGGCACACCGATGAAGATGGAGTGGTTAACGGAACTTCCGAGGTTACCGATTCCGGAGAGAGTTCAACCGCCGGTCCTTCCGAGCCGTTATCGTCGTCGTCGTCGTCCTCGGATGAAATGGAATTGTCGTCGGAGTCTAGTAGTTATACTACGGTGCGAGTGCTGGTGCCTGCAACGCCTTCCACGACTACGTCCATGCCCGACGATGTTTCAGACGAAGTAACCAAGAAGGATAAACCGTTGCCAGCGGTTGTTCAGATTGGGGACAAGCTGGTGATCGTGGATCACAATCAGCTGAAACCGATTACTGTGATTCAGGTTGAGGAGGTTGCGGGACTGCAACGTGGAGAGGATGACATATCGTACGATCAGGAGATGTACACGGATCGGGCTCCGGAGAACAGAGAAACGCCAAAGCACATGAAATTGGAGAGTAGCGAAAGGGAGACCCTGTCGACGCAGGCGGATTCAAGTGTGGCTTACGAAACGGTTTATCACGGAGGATCGACGGAGAATTTGGCATCGGAAGAGGTTTTCGAGACGCAGCATTATACGGAAGGTCCGGAAAGTAGTGCAGAGAGGAATGATACTCAGACCGATCAGCTGTCGGCGAGTAGTGAGGAGTTTATACAGTTGACGCTGTCGTCGGACAAACCGGGCAAGTTGGACGATGAGCATACGACTTTGAATTCATTGGCCACGAGTGGAGAGGAAGGTAGCACAACCATGGCAGATTTCAATATTATGTCGGCGAGCTCGGAAGCGTCAGGGGATGAAGTGTATGAAACGCATTTTTATACGGAAGGTCCGGGAAGTTCTTCGGAAACTACGGAAGTGAATGCGATTTCGGAAACTCCTCAATCTACAAAGCCAAGTAAGGATCTTCCAGTGGACGACATGGCCACGCAAAGGAAGCCGTACATCGAGGACGATGAACATGATCTGATTCAACCAGGATTCCAGCCCATCCCTGAGGACTTTAGTCTGCTGTTGAGAGATCAACCCGCGATGGATGATGAAATGGAACAGTCCAGTGCTCCAGCGAAGAGCGAACGGAAGGAAGATATTGCAACGCCTAAGATTTTGTCAGAAGTGTACGAATATCGTCAGAACGCGTCCAGTACGACGACAACGGAAGCTTCAAGTGAAATGGAGAATGAGGTGACAATTTCTCCATCCTGGTTGAAAGATGAATTCAAGCCAATGCTTCGAGCTCCTGGAGAGCCTCATCTGGTTCCTGAATGGGAACGTAGCAATGTTACCGTCAGTAATTCGTCCTCCGATGAGGAATTCAGTGGAGCTGGAGAGTTCCATGTGCTGAAGATGAACTCCGAGGAGTACATTGACAGTTCTTCGGAGGGTAGCGGATCGAGCTCGCCCAGGAAGGAATCCGAGGAAACTACCCTTGCGCCAACAAAGCTTCTACTGCAAGACATTGATTCGCCGGAAAGTGGGTCCTCTTTGGAGTCAGACAGTGTGAAGCATAATCCAAAAAATGACGTCGAAAGTGTCAAGTATGACGAGGACGAAAACAGTACCGTCCAGGAGGCACTACCCAAACAGGTGAAATCTAGTGTTTGAACTTCGAGCAGTGAAGTGCGTAACTTTATGGTAGAAGAATTCAATCAAATTCAAATAGAAACTAGCTAAACGAATTTACTGAATCAAGTATTTAGCAAAGCAAACAAAATCAAACAGGTATTCTCGTTAGTCCGGAAATCACCCTTCGGGAACGACTGAGAATAAGGTGCCAGTTAATGAAAGAAGCAATTCTGCGTCTCTTTCTCCTTGATTAATCGAGTAAGGTTTATTTATTATTCCTCCAATTTCCCGCGCGTTGCATCAAGTCGGGCGTTGGAAGTCTCTAATCTACTAAAAAAAAAGTGAGGGATGGTTCTAAAACTACGATACGCTTTAGACAGTTCATTTTAGTGCCATTAACCACACAGAATGAAGAACGGATACGCACACAAATTCGTCAAGAAGCTACAACTACAACAACAACAACAAATCGGGTTCGCTTCCTGTGTCCAAGTCTCCGCTGCAAACCCCCACACACACATACAAGTGCAATCATTCCCTTTTTTTATCGGTTTTCACTGGTCCGATTGGTTTGGTGATATCGATCGATTGGAGCTGTGAAAACCACGATGGAACTAGTAGCTAGTCACTCTAGTTATGAACCAAGCGCGGTGCTTGACACCAGGTAAAGCGACAAAACTCGTAAAATTTGTACAAATTGAGAAACAGGAACATATCCATGGCAAACAAAATAATAAAACAAACGAATTATCAAGGAAACCTTCATATTCTCCCAAAACCTTATGTTACTTGTAATGGCTCAAATAATTGAAGAGAACATAGTCGTTGGTGTAAATTATTTATTACGCGATGATTGCGAAATTTGAAAAAAAAACAAAATTTGGATTTACACAAATGCAAACAGGCTGCACTCAAACTAAACCCAGAATCCATTCATTCAAAACACTCACCAGAGAGGCATGTGATAGTTCTTACCGTTTGTTGAATATTTGAAATCCTTCAACCGAACGGATATGATGACTCTGAATTACTAAAATCTCACTACAACCGGAAACAGAAGACAACATTCTTATCAAACTTAAAGAATAGACCGAACGAAATCGTAGATTAAGTTTAAGACTGTTACTAGCGATAGTTGATTATGATTATATACGAATTACAAGAAATGGAAAATGATTATTTATTGATTATTTATAATCGAGCACGAATATGTCGTCGCGTTGATTTCAAGTTCATCTTCATTTCAACTGTCAAACATTATGTAGTCGGCCGGGCGGGGATGAAACGCCCCCACCGCCCCTAGCAAATAGTAGGCATTTTTTCTCAATTTTTATCATTATTATTATTATTATTATTATTACGACAACTATCATTATTTTTATAGACAAAACCGATTATCATTTCATTAGAGGAGTAAGTTCCCTTTCCCTCCTCCATCGGCTTCCCGAGTAGACCCGTAAGAATCGTTAGGAAAAATAACTATTAACTGAAGAAAGAGTCATACTTGTAATTTGAACTATTATTATTATGTAAACTACAGCAGTTAAAAGTTTGAAGGCCATTTTCGTTTTCCTTTCTCGATACGTGCAAGCTATATTGGAACTGTTCAATATTTGGTTGAGAAGTAAGGAAAACGCACTAGCCGGACCCTCTCTCTTCCCCCAACTGGGAGCTGATGCTGCTGAGTACTACATAATGAATCTAGGCAATTATGGAATTTAGATGCAAGTCCTTACTAGGCGAAGAAGTCGATTGAATAAGGAATGTAAAATAAAATGAATAAAATAATAAAAAACTTTCTAGAAAGTTCAAGGTTTGATTTGCGACTAATATCACATCCGAAAAATAATATTCTAAATGACGAAATAATATTCTTTAATAACTTTTCATGGAACACGTTTTTATTACATTTGCTGTTACATTTCAAATTATGGTTCATTTGATATAATTTTCATTATGCCATAATTAAAACAACATATTCAACTTGTTAAAATGCGTAGACTCTATATCCTACCTAACTATCCTAACTCAATCAAATGTTTCAGATTTATAATGATCTAGTAGTCGAACCACCCACAGTGAACCCTGAACCTTTCCAGGAAGACAGCTCTCCCTTCATCTAAGGTCTGCAAACGAGCCAGGTGATGGACCTCCGAATTTCGAGTCCACCGAGGAATGTTTGAGGTTTGAGCTGGTGGCATTTAGCACAATTATAAATGGTTCTACCGGTTCCGGGTCATTTTTCATTGAAGGGACCATCGTTATAGTTATGTAGTTGTAGAATTATAGGCTTATAGAATTAAATATTTTTGTTTAGTTCATGCTTAATTCTAAGAATAATCCAAAATAATTCCATCTACTGTAATATTTGTTCCTATTTATCCATATTAATTCGAAAAATGTATAAAGAATCCATTTACGGAAGTTCTGACTAGTTGATACCAAATATTAAGCCAACACTTACATATGACTGTCATTTCTTGAAATTTAATTTGTCCTATGAATAGTACTGATTCATTAGCCCCAATGTCACCCAAAAAAAGCTAGTCAGTGGTACCGCCATATTTCCAACAAGGTTAGCCTTGGATCATCCATCATTGCCTGAATTGTTCCGGAATATCAACTAGCGGTGGTACCGCCATCTTGCCGACAAGATGGGCCTTTCTTCGTCCGCCATCGAAGGAATCGTTCCGGAACCGCAGCGAGCGCTCGCTGGACTGCAGTCGTCATCGACGTCAAAGGTATGTGCCAGAATATCGACCACACCACACAATCCACACCAATTTGAAGAAATACAGTGTTTTAGTTGATTCGCTCTGTGTTTTAATTAATTTGAAAGCTTGAGTGCCTTTTACTTCGCGTAGCCCCTCCAGTTAGCCCAGTAGTGCACCGAATCTTAGACACAGTTCGAGGAGTCTCGTGCTGCTGAGTTGTTGTCGGGCAGAACCTCAAAACTTATAAAGTTAATAGATTTGATGCGACTGGCCGACGGCCTATGCAATAGAATGACTCATCAATGAACTGCGTTTCTGACGCCGCAGGGTGCATTGGAGATGGATTCTGATTTGAAATTGAATTTGGATGTGCTCTTATACTAAAGGGTGATACGGTCAAAATTTGGTCAAGGGAAAACGCGTGTAAATCGGTGAAATCGTTTATTTAAAAAATCAAATTAAATTTCTTTTTCAAGTTCAATTAGTATAAAATTCAGGAAAAATATTCAGTTAGGCTTCCGCTTTTCCAAATCCGAATTGCCGGGCCTTACGCTTGACCCCTGCCATCAGATTTTGTACAGCCACCTTGTCCACCTTCTTCGCCGCAGAAAGCCAGTTTGCCTTGAACTGATGCTCGCCCTTAGCAGTTTTTTTGGTCTTCTTTAGGTTCCGCTTGACAATAGTCCAGTATTTCTCAATTGGGCGGAGCTCTGGCGTGTTGGGAGGGTTCTTGTCCTTGGGAACCACCTGCACGTTGTTGGCGGCGTACCACTCCATGGCCTTTTTACCGTAATGGCAAGATGCCAAATCCGGCCAAAACAGTACGGAACAACCGTGTTTCTTCAGGAAAGGCAGCATTTCTTGGTTGACAGTCCCGGAAGCTATGAAAATGCTGCTTTTCAAGCCACAGGTACAGATGGCTTGCCAAACCAGATATTTCTTTGCAAACTTTGACAGTTTCATGTGCTTGAAAACATCTGCTACCTTTCCCCTTGCTTTTGCCGTATAAAACTCCTGTCCCGGAAGCTGCTTGTAGTCGGCTTTGACGTAGGTTTCGTCGTCAATTACCACGCAGTCAAACTTCGTCAGCATCGTCGTGTACAGCCTCCGGGATCGCGCTTTGGCCGTCGTATTTTGTTTATCATCGCGATTTGGAGTCACTACCTTCTTGTAAGTCGATAGTCCGGCTCGTTTTTTGGCTCGATGCACGGTTGTAGACGATACACCCAGCTTATTTGCGGCATCTCGGAGAGAGAGGTTAGGGTTTCGCTTGAAACTACCGGCAACTCTCTTTGTCGTCTCAGCGGCTTCCGGTTTTCGATTTCCCCCCGATCCAGACTTCCTGGCTGTCGACAAACGTTCCCCAAACACTTTAATTACATTTGTAACGGTTGATTTGGCAACTTTTAGCGATTTTGCCAACTTTGCGTGCGAGTAGCTCGGATTTTCGCGATGCGCGAGCAAAATTTTGATACGCTGCTCTTCTTGCTTGGACGGCATTTTGACAACTGAAGAGTGAATTCCAAAATCAAAATAGGAGCAACATTCTACACACACACACCTTCAAAATGAGGGGTGTTCAGGTTTTTTAAATGCAAAATTGAAAGAAATACGTCAAGTTGATATTGACCAAATTTTGACCGTATCACCCTTTAACAGCGGATGATTCTTAAAGGCTGTTTTTGATCCATTTTCAAGCACCATGTGGTCCTCATCTATCGCTCTGAGTCAGGGATGCCAGATTCCAAAACATTGATTTTGAAGACTTTTTAATCTCGTAAAGACATCTATTTTTCGCAGACATTTTAAAGACATTTCATGTTTTATGAAGACTTTTGAAGCTACAGTCAGGAATCCTTATTGCCGGGGTAACAGGGGCGTGAATAAGGAACCGCGAATAAGGATACCCACAGCTTATGGGATTTTCACTAATAGGGGCTGTGGTGGATTATCTCATTTGTTTCAATATATAGAGCTATACTGTCTTGCACAAAGTTGTTGTACTGAGATGGACCAACAAGCATGTGTCATTGGATTCAGGTTTAATTGGGAACTACGCCGCTAGAGGCGCTTCACTTTTATTTTACTTATGGCGGGCGTTATAATATGGATCATAGGTCCAACATAGAATATTTCGTGACCCTGGCCATATAGAAAGTTGCTGTCTTGAGCAAAGTTGTTCAAGTGACCAAGTATTTTTGGATGCTGGCCATATTAGTTCAGAACTCTCTCACTACGCAGCGCTTCTGTGCATATAAGCGTGCTACATAAGCTGTATCTCAAAATCCTGGCCATATAGAAAGTTACTGTCTTCAGCAAAGTTGTTCAGGTGATCATGTCCTTTTGTATGGTGTTCGTATTAGTTCAGAACTGTCTCACTACGCAGCACTAGTGTGCATGTGAACTTCCTATATAAACTGTATCTCGAGAACCCGACCATATAGAACGTTTCTGTCTTCAGCAAAGTTGTGCAGGTGACCAAGTCCTTTCGAATGATGGCCATATTATTTAAGAACTCTCTCACTACGCGGCACTAATGAGCACATGAACTTCCTAAATATGTTATGTCTGGAAAGCTTGTCCATATAAGATGTTGCTGTGAAAAGTGAGAACGCGAAATGGAATAGGGATGACGTGTAGAGAGGCTGTAAATCGATTTCGGACGCCATTTTGAAATCCAAGATGGCGGTCATTGATTCAAGAAAAACTGTCACATACCCTACAACATGGGTATTTTCGGAAAGAGAACGCCGTGTAGAGGCTGGAAATCGATGCCTGACGCCATTTTGGAATCCAAGATGGCGGCCATCAGTTCAAGAAAAACTGTCTCTTTAAGCTACAATATGGGTATTTTCGGAAAAGGGATGACGTTTAGAGGCTGGAAATCGATGCCAGATGCCATTTTAGAATCCCAGATAGGGGCCATCGGTTCAAGAAAAACTGTCAAATACCATACAATATGAGCATTTCCGGAAAGGGGACGACATTCCCCAGAAAAGCATTCCCCTGAATGTACCATTCTCCAGAAAAGTATGCCATGTGTTATTGATTATTTTAGTTTATTATAGTCACTCCAGGAATCTCCTTTCGCGTATATAAAAAGAAGAGAAAAACTTCTTAATGGGTCAAGGGGTTTGAGGAGACCTTAATGAATCAAGGGGTTTTCCCTTCTTTGAAAATATAAGAAAAGGAAATAATTATTTTTTTTTTGATATACGATAAAGCAGGGAATGTTCCCTTCTTTGATCATGTATAAAAGAAACATCATTAATTCAATAAATATATAATAAAGAAGGGAATATTCCTTTCTTTGAAAATATAACAAAAGAAAACAATTAAATTCTTTGGATATACGATAAAGAAGGGAATATTGAATATATAAAAGAGAACATCAGTAATTCTATGGAAGAAGTGAATATATCTTTCCTATGCGTTAGTTCATTAGCTTCAACATAAATCCTGTTAGAGTGCATTACATGAATATTTACGCTCATTGTTCTCAAAACAAAAGAAGCGCTCCTAGCGAATCCCCTTTTTCTACGTTTATCCGTAGGACGAAGAAAATCTAATGGCGTTTCAATGCGTTAGGACGGAATTGAAACTCGTAGAACGAATTTAGAATCATAGATTTTAAACAATATCTCAACAATTTGTGACTCTTTGTCAAATCTAACCGTACGCATGGAAAGGTGAATAAATTTAGAAGTCATCTTTGACAGAAATATTCCGTTTTTTGTTTAAACTCGTTCAGTAAAGAGAGGTAAAGCGCGGGTTGTGCTTAGTACGACGGAAATTAGATCAAAAACCCTATGATATATTACGCTCCATTTATGTGCATCATAGTAACAGAAATTTTGACTACTTTTACGAACTGTATAAGTAGTAGATCTGTTAAGGTTCATAGTATTGTTCACCTGTGTAGCTGGATACTGATACGTTTTAATCCATGGCCCGGGATAATGCCTCCTGTAACATGTGCATCCCTCTGTCATAAATTCTATATTTCCCACGACGCTTCTAGCAGACCACTTTCGCTGTGTCAAGCTGTGAAGAGTCAATTTCTAGTAAACTACAACGGCCATCGAACAACTG